GAAGGCAGGGCCTTACTGTCATCGACACTGGCCAAGAGAAACTCATAGGTAGGAAAGGATGCAGATCAAATCATCTTGTAAAGACTATTTTGAAGTGCCATATACCATATTTTTATTTATCTTTGTGTAAGTGTGACAGTTTTTTAAGTTATCTTAATTGTGTGACATCATTTATTGCGTATCTCTTATAGTGACTCTTCTGTTTCTTCGATTCAGCTATTTGTACATTCTTCCACAGCTCTTATTCCCATGAAAATATCAGTTCTTTTTCATGCCCTCCATATTTGTCTTGTGAAATTCAGTAGTCAGTGGGTATAATTTACTAACTTGCATTTCAGTTTTCTGAAACTGCATATATTTCATGTCCCTCTTAATCTCAACTACTTGTTGCCATAAAATGTCAACTCTTGTCAATTCTAAAAAGAAACCAGCTTTTTCATCCCTTGAACAGGAAATTGTACATTTTTTTTTATAAGTAATTTAGGTCAAATCATAAATTTCATTGCTAACTTCTTTTTCCAAGCTTCAAAACCCATGAAGTCTGAAATTGAAAGATTTATTTGACATGGTCTCTCCTCTCCCATCTTCAACTTAATAGAGGTCATCTGTAGCCTCCAGTTTTAAATTAGTGCTGTTAAAAAAAAAAAAAAAAAACTGTTTAGAGAAAACAGGCCTGATGTATTAATCTACTTTTACAACCTCAGTTCTATGCTTTTACTCTAAGGTTATTGAAATATCAATAGAAACTTAAAGTCTTGCATTTTTATTAGTTTTGCTTAATTTTTAAGTCATACAAATGACATCTTTATTTTAAACTAGTAAACTAAAATCAAAATCTTACTAAGAAATTCATCAAAGGACATCCCAACCTATTCATTCTTGAGTAAATTTTCTCCTGAGAAATAGGATATGTGTTAAACAGAAACAGTATTTAATTAAGCTCTTCGGTGTACCATAGCCATCTTAGGGTTGTAAATACGGCATTGTTTTCTGTAAGTCATTGCAGATGTCCTGTATACTAGATACCTCTAAATGAATAATAGACTTTGAGGATCTTTTCGCCTGCTCACTATATGTGCCTGCAGAGTCAATGCTGCCTGAGGTGGAAGCTGTCTTCATTTTACTCTTGTTGCGTCTGTTTTTCTTTTTGTATACTTGAATTTTGTTTGGTTTTCTGAACTGGGTCTTGCTATGTGGCCTAAGTAGGCATCAGTGTCTCCAGTCTTACCTGCCTTCATCTCCCAAATGCAAACGCCACGAACCCAAGCAAGTTGTTGTCCTTTTAAAAGCCATTTGGTACAAGAGCAGGGTTCTAGTCCTAGAGTTAATGGAAAATTTATAAAAACTGTAGATGTGTCACCATTCATGTATGAAGTTTTGTTTATGTCTAAAGATGCCCATCAAAGTAAATTAAGTAGATTTGGTCGGGTTTTTTTGGGGGGGAGGGTCTCTTCAAAGAATAAGCAATTGATGTTGCTAATTAAGAAATCTATTAAGCAAAATGAACAAAGACTAAATATAGCAATTTTTATATGTCGTGTGTGTGTGTGTGTGTGTGTGTGTGTGTGTTTTCTTGGAAACCTCATGCTTTACAAATCACACACACACTAAAATAACAAGGCTTTTGAGAAAAGTGGTGCTGGATTGGATCGCTTACAACTATTTAACTTTATAAATGTAGAAAGAACAAATGAATACCAGAATACCAGTGTTAGATATCCATGGCCTTTTGGACCTAGAATTGGCTTGTATTTGCAGCCACATAGGATGGGTCACGCTTGTTTCTTCAAGACGTTTGTTTCCAACAGAGACCAACATACAAACAACAACAACAAACACACACACAATGATTCAGACAAATCCTTTTCTGGGAAGGTGCTTTGTTTTCCTACCGGCATGGTGGCCTCACATGCAGAAGAAAGCCAGGCAGCTCTTCTCTTTAGGGCTGGAACGTGGCCACTCCCTGTAGGGAAGAAGGGTGCTTCTAGAAACTCCTACCTCAAGTCATTATCATGCTAACGAATTTTTTCATACAATTTTACATTATACTAACAAAATTTCTCCCTTTGCCAATTACATATAAATGAACTATTGTAGAATTAACTAGACCATAGCTAAAATAATTATGTCTAAGCAATGGAGAAGGCATGGACTGAATGAGTGGAGGTGAAAGAAGGTCAAGATTGAAATTGGGAGTTCTGTCAAAGTCTGGAAAGATGAGGTGTAAAAGATCTGAAAAGACAAGTATTTTGTTTTAAAACAAAAAACTTACAAATGTGGGGCCTGGAAAAATGGCTCAGTGGTTAGGAGCACTGGCTGTTTTTATAGAAGACCTGGGTTCAATTCCCAGCACCCACATGGCGGCTCACAACTGTCTATAATTCTAGTTCCAGAGGATCTAACACCCTCACTCAGATATACAGGAAGGCAAAACACCAATGAGCTTGGAATGGACAGTGAACATTTGACCATGCAGATTACCTGGCTAGAGAGTTTAAGCACACACGTATAGATTGTAGTTAGTGTAAGAGTGTATGAAGAGGAGAGAGAATCTGGGACACTCCATGAACAGTGGTTGATCAGAGTGGCTGGGAGGGGGACTAAGCCAGGAAAACCTACAGGGCAGTCGGAGGAGAGCCAGGAGATGCTTTGTCAACCCAGTAAAGGTAGTAGATCCTAACAACCTTCTTTACTTAGAAGGTTAATGCTAGGTGCTCTAGAAAGATAAGTGTCTTGGGAACTGGGGGCCCACTGGATTTGGCAGTGTATATGTATAGTTTTTGGTGTGTATGTGTGTAGTTTTTGTTGTTAGAATTGAAAGTCTGATTTCAGTAGATCATAGAAATGCAGAGCAAGGAAAGGAAGAAATGCCTTGGTTATTTTGGTGAGCTTGTGGAAATGTACCATAGATGAAAATGATAAGGGGCAGGAGAGCCACCGTGGATGTTGGAAGCGCTCCTTATTTAACCTGAGAAATTAAAACTGAGGGAGTTTAAGTAGTTTCTGCTGCTGTAAAGTCAGTAATGGGAGATGGAAAAGAGAGCCTCTGATCTTCCCCTTCCTGCTTATCAGTATAACACAGACCAACTCTTACCAAACAGAAAAATAAATCACAATAATTCAATTTGGCAATTTAACACATTCTTTCTTAGGTGTAAGAGGTTGTAGTACAATTCTGCTAGAGTTTATCTATAAACCTGATACATTGTAGTTGAGTGTGTTGAATAACATGACATGGATCACCATAAAGAATGGTGAATACTTGAGAAGATTGTTATGTTAACCCTGATCTAAAGTTTATGCAGTGATGTATGTATTTATGTGAGATCATGGTAGCACACAGTTTTAATGAGTTTATAGTGCAAATGAAGGTTCTTTTAAAGCCACTGAACAAAACACCAAATTTTGCCATATTGTGAATGTACAAAACAAAGTCAGAATATCTAAAATGCATCGAGGAAAATCTTTGATACTGTAGTTTTGTATTTACTGTGGGGAATGATGTCTGTCTTAAAATAATGTCACCAAGAATACAGACAGGCTTATAAGTGTACTAAGTCTTAGAATAATTCTGTCTGTGGCTGCTTGTCTCAGCCTTGTGCAGGTGTGTACAAGCGTTCATGTGTACTCATCTCTGTTCACGTGTGCTCATGTTGTATGCGTACATTCACGTGTCCTGTGCATCACACAAAGTTTTCTTTTTTGGCATGTGAGCACCACCTATTGGTTTCTCATGGACGTCAATACAATTTTTCTAGTTTTCCCTAGAGCTAGTCTAGTGTGGAGTTTACTTCTGTGGCAGTCTGCTTCATCCAGAGTTCCAGATCGTTGTCACTGTGTTAGCAAAGTGGAAAGAAAGCTGTACTTTGTTTTCAATAAATAATAGAATTGCACCTGGAGAACTTGAGTCTTTTCTGAACCACCATTCATTAAAGTATCTTTTTTTCTTGTAAAGGAGGGAATTGACTCTGTAGTGAGTCTGGGATGACCGCAGGCTTCTGACTTTCGTGCCTGTGATTGGAGGGGTGTTCCAGCATGCCTACTCCAAGACATTTACTAGTACTGAAAGTTAACGACAACAGTTTATTAATTAATTAATCGAGGAATGAGAAACAGCAGCCTTGACTGTCCCTGGGCAGTGAGAGCCCTTGGCGTGTGTGTCCCTGTCTGCTGGGTCATGAATCTTCATGTTCTAAAAGTGCTTTGCATCTAACCCCTTTGGCAGTACATTCTGATTTCCTCTTAAGCTTGAACTTATGCTCTGAGAAGGATATACTTTAAAACATCAGTAGTGGATTTTCTACAGATAATAGGTTGTTCTGTGGACTCAGGAATTGAATGTAAGCCATCTGGCGTGCTGTATTTTGAACACCATCAATGACGTTTCCTAACCTATCATCGTTAGTCTAAATTGAGTGTCATCAACCTCTTTTTTAAAGGAAAGGTTTTGCCTGACATAACTGCATTGAGAATATTTGGCTTTACAAGTCTGGTCGCATGCTTTTTAAACTAAGTGTCAGAGTTCAGGCCATGTGCCAAGAGCACTGCTTAAACTGCCTCATTTTCTCCCTCAGCAATGTTTTTTTGTAAGTACAGATACTAATTAATTAATTGGGACATTGTGCTCATCAGTGTTTTTACTTTGACATGTATTTTTTATCATGTTGATATCTTATTTATCACATTGATATCATATTTATCATTTATCATATATATCATTTATTATTTTGATCTCTGCACTTCACCCTAAAAGATCTGACACCTGAATGATCTGACTGGAAAAGTTCCTTGCCTGCCAGTAATATCCAAATAAGGATAAGGCTCTTTTTCTAGAGGGGAGAAAATAAAATGCAACAGTGAAGCAGAGAAGCTTTCTGAGTTTGCTGAACCACATCTTAGCATGCGATTTGGTGTCTGAAGTGTTTTTGGTTTTTTAAAGAAAAGCTGTTGTTTTATTTAAGATATAATGACTAGCAAAGGTTGCTGTGGCTGTCTTCCAGCTTGTGGAGAGACTCCAGAACAAATCCGAGCGCCAAGCGGAATAATCACGAGTCCAGGCTGGCCCTCAGACTATCCTGCAAAAATCAACTGTAGCTGGCTCATACGTGCAAACCCAGGGGAAATCATTACCATAAGGTAACTCCAGCAGCTTTCACAGTATTAGTCTTTTATTTAGAAATAGAAATACAGCTCCTGACGGTACAGCAATATAAAATATTTTACAGAACATAAAATAAGTTATGACTATCAGTGTTACTTAAAAAATAAGTAATGATCTAATCAGTGTGTTTTCAGCATTTTCTGTCACTGATAGCATGTTGTACAGAGATGGAAATCCTCCTGCCTCAGCCTCCAGAGGGCTGGCTATCAGGAATGTATCGCTACACTCAGATACTTTTTAGAAACAGTATAATTTTTACCAAATATGGGGCTTTTGCTATAAAACTAGATTCATGGGAATTTGTATCTATGAACTTAAAAGCTGTAGCTCAGCAGTTAAGAGCACTTGCTGATCTTACAGAAGACCAGAGCTCTGTTCCCAACACCCATCCACACAGAGACTCACAACTCTCTGTAAGTCCAGTTCTAGGGGCTCTGACACCCTCCTGGCCTCAAGGGCACTGCACACATGTGGTGTACTTAAATATACTCAGATGACACACACATATGTATATAAGATAAAAAATAATTTTAAAAAAATGTAGCTTACCAGCCCACTCGTGTTAAACTTGGAGATTCTTGCAGCCCAGAATGGTAAGGAACACTGCCATGAGAATTTGATTGTGTATTGCATCTCGGAGATTTCACAAAGCAAAATAAAGGGTTCTGTTGAAATGCAGAACAAATCTGGATTTAAGCCCCATATCTAGTTTTTTTTTTCCAGACTGATTTACACAGATAAAAGGTCACATTATTATTAAAGTCTTTATTATGATAATAGCCAAATTTTTAGGAAAAATAACAGATGGGTTTACATAGAGATGTGAATTTCATGTGTGACTGTTGAAAATGATCTTGTTATTCAAAGAATCATTCTGAATCCCATTCAGATATGCAAATGAGCCTATGACAGGAAATTTTTAATTGACTTCTTTTTGATAAGTAAATAAAAAGTCTACTGCTTCCAGGTGGGTGCTCTAAAATGTCTAACTGTGTGAGTAAGGGTAAAATGAGCATCCAACCTCAAATTTGTGGTCAAACTTAAATCCTTAAAACATGAACTATATAGGAATACGGAAGTGTGCTGGGTTTTGATTGTTTGATATTTTAAGAGGCTGAGCTGGATATGTAACCACAGACCCTGAATTCATGACTTTTCTGCCTCGGTTTCCTTAAGAAACATGCTTTTAAGCAGTCTGAAGTGAAGTGGGGTAGAAGACCTGAGGAAAACTGCCTCTCAGCAAATATGAGTGGCTTTGCAACCTGCTGACCCCATGGCGGGATTTGCAGTTGTGTGGACACCACGTAAGAAAGGTTGTAAAGTAGAGACCTGATAGGGAACACAGAGAAGGAGGGATGTGAGCCTGCCACCCAAACTCCAAGATGGCAAAAAGCATAAATGCCGTGACAGAGCCGACAGAATAACTGCAGTACAGGCTTGCGCAGGCGCTGCAGTATCTATGACAGCAGGAGCTTCTTCCCTAACCTTCTTGTCCTCTCAGTACTTGGCTGTCTGGTAAAACTTATGAACTAATTCCAACAATGTTTTTTAGTTCATAAAGCAAGTAGCTTTACGAACTACTGGGTGTATTTGAATATTTATACTATAGTAATATATGCTTATTGACATGCTGACTAAAACAAATCACAGTTCTAATAACTTTTCGGTATAAATAGTATTTTAGACAGTTAAAAACCTACGTAATATAAAAATCTGACTCCGTATGTGTAAGAGAAAGATGTGTGTGAGTAGAGATTTCTGAAAGTGTTGTACATAATTGTGGAAGGCCAGAGACAATGATCTGCCTGAGTTGGAGCCATTCAGAGTATTTAAAGAGAAAATAGCTTGACATAATTCTTGTAGTTAACTTCCTTATCACTTGATCACTTGATTTAAAGTAGAAGCAGAGCGAGAAAGTCAAATTTTCATTTGTTAGCAAGCCGTGTTCAGATGTTGGAAGCAAAATTGGATTTCTCGTTTGAGCTAAGCGATGGCTGCTTTCATGTTGTCGTTTGACTTTTGTCATTTACTTATGCCCATTTTTTAGGAACTGCATGATAATGCTTAACTATAAAGTGATTTCTGTAAAAGAGTATTCTCGTACTGGGGCACTTTTCACAGCAAATGTTATTCTTTTGGTTGTGGACTACCCCCCCATCTCTGTTGTTCTGACTTGCTGTCCAGAAAATGCTAGCTGAAGCTGCTTTAAGGAAGTGGGTGACACAGTCTTAACAGAAGAGAGAGATGAGTCTCTAGCATCCTTCTCCCCGCTTGAATTTCTGGCTCAAGCATGAAGTGTAGGCTGAGCTGGGTTGGAAATGTGTAAACAAAAGGGATGCACGCTGTCATCTGGTGTTGCTCAATGGTGTTACTCAATGAAGAGAAACACTGTTGCGGACCCTAGGGAGCTGTGCAGAACTCAGGAGTGTAGAGCAGGTGTGTGACTGCTGATGCCGAGGCAGGCTGCTGGGGCCGCGGGCCTGGGAGTGCTGTCTTCAGTTACATTGCGTTTTTATGAACATTCTTGTCAGCATATCTTAAGGTCTCTTCCAACTTTCTCTTGTTACAGTTTTCAGGATTTTGATATCCAGGGATCCAGAAGATGCACTTTGGACTGGTTGACCATAGAAACATATAAGAATATTGAAAGTTACAGAGCTTGTGGGTCCACAATTCCGCCTCCGTATATCTCTTCACAAGACCACGTTTGGATTAGGTTCCATTCGGATGACAGTGTGTCCAGGAAGGGCTTCAGATTGGCGTATTTTTCAGGTGTGTTTTTTAAAAGAAATATGTTGCACTACATTTTGTGGTGTTAACTGCTCAATCATGCTGTAGTAAATTTTCTGAACAGTGTCCATTTAATCATGAGAAGGCCTCAAGGCAGCTGAGATTGAAAATTAGAAGCTAAAGTCAGGTGCCTTCAAATTGAATGTCCAATTTGATGATTTGTATAACCCAAGCATCTTCAATACATTTATCTTGGAAGTAGGCTTTTCTCCAAGCTTTTACCCATATCTCAAACATTGTGTCAGAATATATTTTTTGAGTGAATTACTGGTTTCGTTATACCCTAAACATAGGGTGTAACCCATTCTGCCAGCACAGTTTATATTCTCAGACTTCTGCATTTTTACTTTTCTTAAACCATTTCCAAACATGACCAAGCACATATGGAAAATTCAGAGCGCTGTGGTGGCACCTTCTTCCCGCCACCTGCTTTGCCACCTTCTCTCATCTTTGCAGTGTTTCTGCCGAGTGCTTATCCATAAGTAAACTGTTAGTGGAGAGGCAGCGATGGCCCAGTTGGGGCTGTAGGAATCTGCAAGGGTCTTCCTCGTTCTCTGTTGCTCTTGTTGAATATAAAACATGCTGTACTGAAATAATTAGAATTCTGTAAGTACTTTTTTTCTGTCTTTTATGAACAATTCTTTGAACTATCCAGACTGGTATCCTCCCAAAAGTAACTGCACCTAGTAATAGACACTGGCCATCATCATAAAGTCATTTTGTGAAGTATTTGCAGTTGTATTAAAAGCAAACACTGCAAAATGGAATTATTTCATCAGGATTACACAGAGCATAAGTAATTTAAAGTTAAGATGACAGTTTATCTAAAGCAAGTGTACAGTGTAAAATACACCGCAGCGCACAGAAAATTACTGCTGTGTGCGGGCAGAGACAACAACTACAGGAGAACGGGAAAAGTGCTTAAAAAGTGGTTGCCTGGATGACTTTCTTCTTTAACATGTCTCATGCTTTAACAGTGTGGATGAAGTGTTAAGTTCTTAGGCAGTATGTCCTTTGCCTCGCGTGCCTTACGTCATTTTACTAAATGTTCTGCAGTGAAATAGCTTTCTACAAAATAGAATTGGTCCCTTCTATCTTAGGTAGACATGCAAGCAGCTTAGTGGGAAAGGAGCAAGCATGTATAAGTGGAATTGTTGAGGGTGTAATGCCAGCTCTAATTTCCCACAGGAAGTCTACATATTGTTAACAAAGTGTGTAAAAGCCTTATCACTTAAGCTTAATCATCATTATTATAAAAATGCACACTCCTGTCTTTTGAAGTGTGGGTGTTTTATTTTTGTTCTTCCTTCTCCATTTTCTTCCCTACATTCTCCCAGGGAAATCTGAGGAGCCAAATTGTGCCTGTGATCAGTTCCGTTGTGGTAATGGAAAGTGTATTCCAGAAGCCTGGAAATGTAATAGCATGGATGAGTGTGGAGATAGTTCTGATGAGGAGGTCTGTGCCAAAGATGCTAACCCCCCAACAGCTGCCGCTTTCCAGCCCTGTGCCTACAGCCAGTTCCAGTGTCTGTCTCGCTTCACCAAGGTTTACACTTGCCTCCCCGAGGCCTTGAAGTGTGATGGGAACATTGACTGCCTGGACCTAGGAGATGAGATCGACTGTGAGGTGCCGACGTGTGGACAGTGGTTAAAATACTTTTACGGCACTTTCAATTCTCCCAACTACCCAGACTTTTACCCTCCTGGAAGTAATTGCACCTGGCTCATAGACACGGGTGATCATCGGAAAGTCATTTTACGCTTCACTGACTTTAAACTTGATGGTACTGGTTATGGTGATTATGTCAAAATATACGATGGACTAGAGGAGAACCCACGCAAGCTTTTGCGTGTGTTAACTGCCTTTGATTCTCATGCACCGCTTACGGTCGTTTCTTCCTCTGGACAGATCAGGGTGCATTTTTGTGCTGACAAAGTGAACGCTGCCAGAGGGTTCAATGCTACTTACCAAGTAGACGGCTTCTGCTTGCCGTGGGAGATCCCCTGTGGGGGGAACTGGGGCTGTTACACAGAGCAGCAGCGGTGTGATGGCTATTGGCATTGCCCAAACGGAAGGGATGAAATCAACTGTACCATGTGCCAAAAGGAAGAATTTCCGTGTTCTCGAAATGGTGTCTGTTATCCTCGTTCTGACCGCTGCAACTACCAAAATCATTGCCCAAACGGCTCTGATGAAAAAAACTGCTTTTTTTGCCAGCCAGGGAACTTTCATTGTAAAAACAACCGCTGTGTGTTTGAAAGCTGGGTGTGTGATTCCCAGGATGACTGCGGTGATGGCAGTGATGAGGAGAATTGCCCAGTGATCGTGCCTACCAGGGTCATCACAGCGGCCGTCATTGGGAGCCTCATCTGCGGCCTGTTGCTCGTCATTGCGCTGGGTTGCACTTGCAAGCTCTACTCTCTGAGAATGTTCGAACGGAGGTCAGTGTCAAAGCACACTGTGGCTTATGGCCCAGGGGCTGGCTCAGTTGGTAAAATGTTTGTCACACAAGCATGAGGAGATGAATGTGATGCTCGGTACTTACAAAGTTAAACATGATAGTGAACACACATGTAATTAGTGCTAGTAGAGACATGAAGATCCATGGGAGTCACTGGCCAGCCAGCCTAGCCTAATTGGCAAACTCCAGATCTCACTCAACAAGGTGGATGGTTACTGAAGATTGACACCCAAGGCTGACCACTGGCCTCCAAACGCACACGGAAAAATGCACTCATACATACATCCACACACAAAAACAGAAATTATTTAAAAGTGTGAACAAATGTTTGTCATTAGCTCCTTTAATGTGGTTTACAGATGTATATGTTTAGAATATCTAAAATTAGGATGAAAAGCACAGTAGGCAAAGAGAAACATAGTACTGAACACTGTTTTCGCTTTATCAGATGAGAAAAGTCAGCGTTATCTTTCCTAGGTTTCTGTCTTAGGGGGACAGGCTGTTATGTCAGTTACAGTTTATTGTGTCCTTATAAATTCAGTAATTGTACGTTTCTAAGAGTCCTGTGTTCATAGCACTCTACAAGGGAAAAGGAAATGAGTAAGCCGTGGTTTGACAAGCAGGCTGTCAAGGAGGGAACTGGTGGCTGGGTGAGATGAGAGCAGTGAGAGATCTAAAGTCTCTAAAACAAAGTGGCGTGAGCACCTCATGGTGGGGCCATTGGGGGGGTCCTTGATCACAGAGGTGCCATTGAAATATGTGAGTGGGATATAGAGAAGAGAGACTGCAGAATTCTTCTCTGAGAAAACATGTAGAAGAATGCCCAGCATCCGTAGTTCATTTGCTCGGGAGCCTTGGAAACACACGAAGGATGGAACTCAAGACCTGGCCTTGCACGGTTCAGTGAGAGCTGTGTTCTTGGTTGAATAGCAACAAGTTAGCCATGGGGAGAGTGGGATGCAGAGAGAGCAGCTTCCAGTGTAGGATAAACCAAAAGATGTCAGTGGCAGGGATAGTTCCCAAGAGGCTGTGGCAGGGACAGCTGCCTTCAGTCCTAACAGCTACAGATGATCAATTATCAACGACCATGCCAGACAGCTAAAGATCACACATGGTGCACAGATGCATGGGCCGCAAGAGCCATTGCTGCCTCTTCTCTGAGCAGATATACATAGACATCTTTACTGTATTGCACCAAAAGAGCACAGTGGAGAGCCGGGTCTCCAGTTCCGTCTCTCGTCCTTACCTGCATTGGACTAGTTGAAGTGTCTTCTGGGATCTTTCAATGACTATCTCCTAAAGTCTAGGGATGTGGGATTTAAACTCTGTTATCATGTACAGATCCTTCCTTTTGCAGAGATTTCTAGTCTATTAAACAGAATAACCCAGGTTCTTACTAGCATAAAGCACCCTCTGGACACATGCTCCTCCACCTCAGCCTTCCACTGCCAGAGTGGACATGAGAGTTGAGTTAGCTGGTTGAAAGAGTCAGGTGGTCTTCAGAGCCGACAGTAGGACATTGCTGCTTGCCTTCTTTTGACCGTTTTGTTCCTGTTTACCAAAGATCATTTGAGACCCAGTTGTCCCGAGTGGAGGCAGAGTTGCTGCGGAGAGAGGCTCCCCCCTCATACGGACAGCTGATTGCCCAGGGCTTGATCCCGCCAGTGGAAGATTTCCCTGTCTGCTCACCTAACCAGGTACCATGGGAATTCCGATCTCTGCTTCATCGTGCTCTTAGAGCCTCTGTGTGCTAAAGCAGGGACCCTTCACTTTAGGGTCTTCACAGCCCAGCAGATAACAAGTATGTGGAGAATTGAATTTATAAATTGTATTACATTGTAACAGAATCATACATTTTAATTTTTATGGTTATGAGGTTGTCATTTTTGGGCATCTTTTTAGAATATGTGAGTGTGCTGAAATTTAAAAACTTTGGCCAATTGAACACTTACAGATGTAAGAGCGAATGCTAAAATTTAATGTAGTAACATGTTATTTATGTCAGATCAACCAGTTTTAAGTGAAAATAATTGAAGAGTTAATATTTGCCCCTCATTTGAGGGATAACTTCAAGCTGAATTTTACAGTGTTTAAGAATATGGTGCACTTTCGTTGGGTTGTAACTCATGTGTCTTGATTATTCAAATTTCTCAGGAACTTTTTTTTTTTTTTAACTTTTCAAGCTATAAAAATGTACCATGGTTCGTTTTAGTCATAAGGATTTATATGCATTTAAATTTTAAATGTATTCACATTTATAAAAATTATTCTCAGAATTAAGAAAAATTGATATTTTCTCAGTGACTTAACTCTTTAAAAATAGGACACCATTTCACTTCTGGCACATGTCAGAAGTGTTTAGAAAATCCTTGGTGAGAATATGTAGGTTTTAAACATTTTTTTCTAGTTTCTAATTCAGAATTTATACTGGTCAAATTTTGGGGTGTAAAATAGAAAAAACTAGCTGATGGTCTCTTTCTATCGTTGGCCCTGCCACCATCAGTTTCTCTGAAGGCTGGTGACTCAGTGCAGTGGCTCCTGTCTCCGTCCTCCCCGCTGTGTTCTGTGAAGCTAGTAGGAGCACAGACCATGTGACTGCTCACTCCTAGGACCCTCTGCAAGCTCAGGGGCCTCCCCAGCTCCCTCTGGTTCTCTAGCTCACAAACAGGATGTGAAGGGCTTATCGGAGCTGCTTCCCCGTGGCTGCACTCTATCACTGTGAGGATACAATTACAATCCACTAAGAAAAGAGGTGCATGTAGTAGGGTTCGGACAGCCCAGTGGCCAGAGCATGGCTCTGTTTACACCTGAGCAACAGTATTCCAGAGACAATATACCAACCAGAGACACCCACCTGTTGGCTGAGATTCTGTGCTTTAATGCTCAAGGCCAGCTTCATTAAAGCTATGTTTGTTCCCACTCTATAACCACTAGGTGGAGCTTAAAGACCATTTAAATGATGCACATTTGTTTAAAAAATAATCTAACACTTTCATCTGGAACAAAAGAATTTATCTCTTAATTACATATATTTATCATTGTGTTTGGAAGAGGCTGTGCTCCGCGGTGCCACCCTGTGGTCAGAGGACAACTTTCAGGGGTTTGTTCTCTTTCACCTTGTGGGCGCCAGGTATCAAACTCAGGTGGTTGTGCTCGGAGGCAAGCACCTCCACCTGCAGGGCCGTCTCGAGGGCTCCCAGTTCTTTCAGTAGAGCAAGATACTTTCATTATGTGCTAATTAATTCGTGAAACATTTTGAGACAGGGTTTCTCTGTGTAGCCTGGCTGTCCTGGACTTGCTTTGTACTCACAGAGATCCACCTGCCTCTGCCTCCCAACTGCTGGGATTAAAGGGGTGTGCCACCATGTCTGGCCTCTGTAAATTTTTGAATTATCGGTTTTTAAAAACTAATACAATTTGTATTTAATCATAAACTGAAAAAAATTAAGAAGGAATCCAGATGTATACTTTTGATTTCTGTTCTGTGTTGCAAGGATGGTCAATCTTTATTTGCAATAGTAAAACTGAATCCTCAGTATTCATTCACTTATTCAGTCCTTAAAAACCAGCTCTGTGAAATGTAGTCCCACACTGACAGGCCAGTTCAGCCTTGTATGTCAAGTCTAACTCTATTTTTTAGGAGAATAAAGGACTCCAATCATAAACAATACCATGTCACTTCATGAAGTATGGTAGAGATTTTTAAGTCTTCCCAGTAGATGCCAAGAGCTAGAAACTGTATCTATTTCCTAGGCTTGGATTGGATCATTATTGAGATTCGAAATAAAATAACTTAGAATTGACACAACTGTCGGTGTAATGTTAAGACAAAGTTACAGATTAGATCCTGACAGCGGAGCTGTAGAGGTGAGAGAGTTTAGTTCACCGCTAGGAGCAGTGAGTCAAAGAATGTTATTCATAGTAATACTTCTTAAACAATTAATGCCTAATAATAAAAGGTCTTACTTCTTTTTTTTTTTTTTTCCTCGCTTTCACAGGCTTCGGTTTTAGAAAACCTGAGGCTAGCTGTCCGATCTCAGCTGGGATTTACTTCAATCAGGCTTCCTATGACAGGCAGATCCAGCAACATTTGGAATCGCATTTTTAACTTTGCAAGATCACGTCATTCGGGTTCATTGGCTTTGGTCTCAGCAGATGGAGAGGAGGTTGTCCCTAATCCGAGCAGCAGCAGAGAAAGTGAAAGGAGTCACCCTCACAGAAGCCTCTTTTCCGTGGAGTCTGATGACACGGACACAGAGAATGAGAGAAGGGACATGGCAGGAGCATCTGGTGGGGTTGCAGCTCCTTTGCCCCAGAAAGTCCCTCCCACAACAGCCGTAGAAGCCACAGTGGGAACAGGCGGGAATTCCTCAGCTCAGAGTGCCCGAGGTGGTCACGCAGATGGAAGGGATGTGCCGGGTGTGGAAGCCCCAAGCGTGAGCCCAGCACGTCACCAGCTCACAAGTGCTTTCAGTCGGATGACTCAGGGCCTGCGCTGGGTACGTTTTACATTAGGTCGATCAAGTTCTGCAAATCAGAACCAGAGTCCTTTGAGACAGCTTGATACCGGGGTGAGTGGAAGAGAAGAGGATGATGATGTAGAAATGCTAATTCCAGTTTCTGACGGAGCTTCAGACATTGATGCCAGTGACTGCTCCAGACCTCTTCTTGATCTTGCCTCAGACCAAGGACCAGGGTTTAGACAGCCGTACAGTGCAGCAAACCCCTCGGTCAGAACAAGTAACCGGGATGGCCCCTGCGAGCGCTGTGGCATTGTGCATACTGCGCAGATACCGGACACTTGCTTAGAAGCAACAGTGAAAAACGAGACGAGTGATGATGAGGCTTTGCTGCTGTGTTAGGACGGAATCACCAGAGAGATGGTGTACAAGCTGGAGCAATATCCATTCATTGTTTTGTAACTTCACAATTAAACTAGTTTTAGTTTCAAATGAAAGGTGCAGGGTGATTTCTTACTCTGCGTTGGCCTGCATGGTCAGACTGAACACCGCGTAACTCTGAGCTGCAGTTACTGGGTTAGCGGCTAGAAATGCTTTATGTGTTCGTATTCTTCAGTCGTGTTCTTCCATTTGTCTATACTTGTTTTGTTTTTATTTTTAAATCATGGTACTTTAGTAGTAGAAATATGGCTGCTTTAATTCATTTGAATGTCATTTTATCTGTCTTATGTTAAAAGGTTTCTTTGTACAAAATAGTACCTTCTTTAATTGAATCCTTTATGCTCTTTGCCACCATGTAATTTATTATACTGGACGCTAAGGATGTTAATGTACAAAAAAGAAAACAAATCCTTATAGTCACCTCTTTGTCTGCTACTGGATTTCGTCATACGGACCTCTCAAAGGAAAAAAAATCTCCTCTTACGTTTAACACACAGTGATGTAAAACTTAACATAGAGTTAGAGAAATTGCTGTCGGGAAACAAAACTCTTTTATAGATTTTCTAAAGCTGACTTTAATACTCTAATATGGTACAAACCAATTGGTAAAATCCCAAGACATTTCTGTTTTCATCTCGATTTAGGGACAGAATTAAGCAGATGGAGATACTCTACTATGCATTAAATTTTGAACTTTATAAAATATGTGCAGAAATTGTACACTCTCAGTCTCACCGGGTAACGTCTTTCTCTAGTACAGGGGTTTGCTCGAGTTGGACCCTAGGGATTTGCACTAAGTCCTGTCAAGGTCTCAGGTGAGGTCAGCGCACGGGCGCTCTCACATCAGATGCTATCGTTTGCTACCACAGTGACTATATATTTCCATAGCTTGGGGGGGGCACCATTTTTATTACAACTTGAAATTGCTTTGCTGGTTTCATATTTATTTGTTGTATTTAAAAACTGCATTATTGTAAGAGTGATTTTTCCAAGATATTTTATTCTTGGGGGAGGGGGTCTCTGCTATAATCTTGGAGAAAAGCAAATTTTAAAAAATTGTTCAGCTTGCCCCCCTCTTTAAGTAGAGTGAATTACAAACCCCATTTTTTTATTGTTAATTCTTGTTTATTTATTCTTTAGCTGTCTGTTTTAGTAGCTTAATGATTGGGTATGAAAACGTGTTTGTGTGTGATTATTGCTATTTATTACATTTTGAATACTTTGCTGAATGTCATTTTAAAGCATGTTTGAGGTCTTGTGTATCTGTCCTGTTATGCCGTCAGGAAGACCTGACAAAAATGTTTTAATATGTATCAAGAATTAAAATAAATTTTTTTATTGCCTTGAGGTACTTTTTAAATTAAAGTTGTTCTTTACTTTTGTGGAACTTCAGTTCATGTGGAGATTCAGGCCAGGCGTGACACAGCGGAGGCCATGGAAGAAGGTAGTGGCCGCCGCAGCCATGGTAGTGAGGAGAGGCTCACGCTGGTTCTCCAGGGGCGCTAGCGTCGTTGCCCTTTAAGAAAGCTGCTTCTTAAAGTTTGTCAACACAGCAGATTGACCTTTCAGCTCCTAAGAATGTGTCTAGCAGCTGGAACTTTGGGGTTAGTCTTCTGGTTTTCTTTTTGCTTCAGGCTTTGTTTTGGTTTGCTGTTTTGGTTTGTGGTTCTGGGGATCAAACCTTGTGCATGCTGCTGGCATGTTTTAATTTATTTTTAGTTGACTTATACAACTTCCTGGTTCAAGCAGTAACAATTTAGTCTCTTCTACCCTGATACCCATCACTTAGTTTTATTTAGGAGATACAGAACCAGTTTCGTGTGCATATCTCCAGAAATATTCTGTGTTGTACATACAGTACCTGTCTATGTATTACTTAATGTCAATCATAATGCAGATTGCCCTGTGTGGACATCCTGTGCCTTTCCTCAAGTACAAATGCATCCTTGATGCTCCAAGATGGATATTTGTTATTTGATTTTTTTTTTTAACCTTTAAGTCAGTGATTTATACTGTTAGGGCTTCAAAACTGACACCCTCCCCCCACACACACACACCAAGAAAAAGTAACTGCCTACTTTTCAAAACCACAGCTACTAATCATCCTCCCTTACCTAATATGAAATGGAACTTAGAAAAGCATTTCCACACTCTGTGACATTTTTAGACTACTCTCTCCAGTTGTTCTTCCTGTCTTCCTGTACCAGTACTAACTACATTATATTAATAACTGACATTTTAAAATACAGTTCAGGTAGTCCTCCTTTCCTTTTTCTCCCTCCCCCTCTCCCTCCTTCTAATTACCTTTAGTAGCAGAGGCACCAGAATGGACAGGGTTAACTGAGATCCCTGGTTGTTTCTGCTGTGGCAGTCTCTAACTGTTGGCACTACTTTTTATTCTGTTCTATTGAGGTTTCTTAGAATTCTTCCTCCCTTCTCCACCCCTTATCTCTTATAATACCTTCCAACTCCTCAACACTAGGTAGCAGAGAAAAGTTAGAGGAGAAAGGGGACAAAGACCTCTTTAGATTTAGTTCTTGTTGAATGGGGCTTTTTTCAGGTTCTTTGGGGAAAGCCAGTCTCAGTCATCAAGATATCCAGCAGTCCAGAAGAGCAGCAACAGCAAACACAGCAGAAGGATGAGCAGCAGCACAGGAAGCAGCAGCTTTCTTTCTCAGAGTTTTCACCTCTCTTCCAGCTCTGGTATTTACAACCTCTCTGAGTCCTCAGAATCCAACTAACTCCATCTGACAAAGACCATACCCCTCTCTAAGCCTCATGAGGCAGTTATCAGCTATGGATAAACTAAGGAAGCCTCATATCCCACCCTTGGGATTAAGACAAAAGCATATTTATATAACATAACTGAGTTTTTAAAGAAACCAAAACTTCCACTACAACTAACCATTTTCTCTTTATGCCAAAGCATGTGCCACCTTCATAGCCTTTTCATTTCTTTCTTTAAAAAAAAAAAAAAACTAAGTTTGAGACTTTCCTGTGTATATTCAATTGTCTTTGCTTATTTTCACTTTTTTCTTTTTACATTTTTTTCTAGACAGTTTTTAATTTTTAGTTAACTTAAATCCAACAGCATCATGTTAAATTGTTACTCTAACTTAGTGCCCTCTCAGAAATGGCAGCCATTTGTTTAAAGTCTCTGTTAGGTCTTTCTGATGTAGTTGTGTTTTACTTTACAGGAAAATTGTTAATAATTCTTAACAAATTTTATCATTGTGTCGCCATTGTCACTGACATTCCAGTTCTACTTTTAACCTGTTCATACACATACTAGCTGGTTATCTGTTAGGACAGTCTTCTGCTGGCCACACAGTCAGCATGTTATCACAGTTCACATCAGTAGTTCGTGTGTGTGTGTGTGTGTGTGTGTGTGTGTGTGTGTGTGTGTGTGTGT